GCACTGATCTGTGCGTTAGTCAAATGATTGGTAAGGTAAATTTTGAGAGTTACTGACATAGGTAGGGTATTAGACTCAGACGAACCCTCTTTCTCCACTTTTCCTCCTTTTCCCCATGGTAGTGGTCTTTGTGTAAAGATGGCTACAATAAAGCCTCCTACCATAACAGTATTCATGCCCTTTTACAATGTGATATCACAGCTCCTCCCTTTAAGAGATAAAGTCATTTACTCACCCCTTGAATTTGAGCTGACCTTTGACCAATAGAATGTAGCAGAGTGATGTTTTAGGAATTTCAAAGTCTTAGCATCAAGAGGTCTGGTAGCTTTCACTCTCCCTTTGGAATGTTGTTTTGAGAACATTGTATAAGGAAACCTAGTCTAGCTTACTAGGAGATGAGAGGACTTGTGAAGAACCGAATTTCTCCAGCCAGCAGTTAGCTGGAAGATCTCCAAGGTAAACCATTCTAGACCATCTAGCCCTTGTTTAGGTACCAAATGACTGCATCCATGTAATACCCAGCATGACTATCAGAATAATTATCCTGCTAATCACCATGTGCAAATGGAAGACCCACAAAATCATATACTAGTAGGTAACTCTTATTTAAGCCATTAAGCTTTAAGGTACTTTTATAGAACAATAGATAAATAAATAACTGATACATCCAATGTATCAAAGCAACAACATTGCAAAAGCTTTTTTCCAGCTTTTGTCCTATAACCTGAAAAATCTGTACAGCTCAAGCAGAATCACCCCATTGTACTACATAGTTTAAGTAAGCAATGACAGAGGAGCGTGGTTTAGTGTTTAATGTGGGGTCTCAGTTTCCACATATATAAAAGAACATTCTGCCAGATGATCACTTCAATGAGGATTTTACGTTTGGAGTTTTATGGTTTTAAAAAATTCAGAGAATAAATTGATTTCTTATACTCTTTAAGTAGAAACAACACAGAAACATACATCACTTTTACTCCTCATCCATCCACAATTGAGTTAAATTACACTTACTACTGGCTCACTGCCTCAGTATCTGGAATTTCCATTAGGTTCTTGGACAGAGAGATAGTACAAGGCAAAGCAACCAAACCAAACCAAACAAAACAAAACATAGGCTTTGGAGCCTGACACACTTGAATTGGAATGCTGGCTCTTTCTTTCCAGCTGTGTGGCTTTAATCTAGCTAGTTCTCCTCCAAACTTTAGGTTGTAATCATATGTATTTTGCAATTATTTTGAGGATAAAAATCATATACATAATAGAAGCTATACACACCGTAGTAGAAGCACAATGAAAAAAATTACCATGATGAATTAGAAATTATATCATATTATAATATAGCACATGAAATAAGACCCATATATCAGAAACGAATTGCAAATTCAATTTTCTTTTTATAATATTATATTTATTTTAGATGAATTTACTATAAGTCAAGAAGTCACCAATATAAATTATTCTTAATTCTGATGTTTAAGCCATCAAATTAAAGAGAAAGTCTTATTTGAATAAAAGCGGCCCTTGGGGACCAGCAGTTGGCAAAATGGCTATGTCACTGGACTCCCATGTAGTCGACTGCAGTTCGAGGCATGGATCCAATGGCTTAAACTCATGCAGACGCGTGTGCGTGCATGCCCAAGATCCCGGGAGGAGAATGGAGAAGGGCTTGCAGCGTGGCCATCCCCCTCGGGCGGTGGGGGGGGGAGTGATTTCTCGCTTTATGTCTCTCTTTCTGGCGAGCGCATGTGCTCTATAGCAAAAACCTCTCAAAAACAAAACAAAAAAACAAAAACTTTTGATCTAACTATGTATTGATTCTTTTCAATCAACATTTGTATATTTAACATTTTGACTTTATTCCCAACTGTGTGTCAGGTGGTTGCTAAAGGGGATTAAAAAGCCACTGCTTTTGAGAAAATCTCCTTGGTTCTTCTATAACGCCAGCCATAACTCCGTAAGCCTTCACCAACAGCGTGGAGGGAGAGTATTTCAGACTCTCTTGTCTGGTGAAAGAGTGAGTGGGAGGAAGGCAGCAGGAGGGGTAGATAAGTCCTCATGTAGGGGAGAGGAGAGCAGGGCAGAAGATACTGAAGAAGCACCTCTCTCACTACTTCCATAGCTCTTCGCCTTGCCCTTACTGTAATCTCACAAGTCTCTGGATCTTCTTCCATCCTGATCCCACTTGAACAAGTTTACCCTGGGTATTTTCTCTGCCTGGAATGCTTTCCCCAGATATACACATGGCTCACTTCCTCACTTCCATCAGCTTTCTGGTGTTCTCAAATATCTTTTTTAATAGAACAGCTGTCTTGACCATATCATAATGCCCTCATCACCATTTCCAGCTTTTAAGTTCCCAATGAATGTGTTTATTTTCAAACTTCAATATGCATGTCAATTACCTAGGGATTCTATTAAAATGGAGGTTGTTATTTGATGGGTCTGGGGTGGGGTTTCAGATTCTCTCTCTCACTCTCTCTTTGGGAGAAATTTTTGCTATAGGGTGCATGTACTCACCCGAGAGACAGAGAGACAGAAAGTGAGAAATCACTCTTCAGGGGATGATCACACGGCAATGCTTTTCCCTCTATTCTCCTCATGGTATCTTGAGCACACACACACACACACACACACACACACACACACACACATCTGGTGTGAATTCCAAGCTGCTGAGTCTGGGACTCAAATTGCGGTTGACTATGTGGGAGTCCAGCGACATAACCATTATGCCATATGTTGGTCCCTGGATTCTGCATTTCTAACTTCCATTGTCAGTGATCTGCAGTACAGTTGTAGTTGCAACACTTGTGATTACTGAGATACTATATATTAGGCTGTCAGGAAAGTCACGATGCATTTTTCTTTGCGTCGTGACTTCCCTGAGGACCCAATATATTCTTTGTCAGTAGTTTGTCTTTTTCTTCCAATCATAAAAGGAGGGACTTGTCTTATTCTGTGCTATACCTTCAACACCTAGTATGATAGCCAGTACATGCAAGTTAATACATATTTATTAACTGGATAAATTATATATGTTGCTGGAAATAAAAACTGGAATTTTGAAAGCATTTTCCATTAGAAACACTGTTGTTCCATTTAGGTACATTACATTTCTGCACCCTGGTTTTAAAACCTTTCTACTATGTGTAAAGCTGTTTAAATGCTGGCATAAACCCTTAAGTTCAGAGTTTAACAAATTTATGAAACAATCACTGGAACACAATCTTGTCACAAAGTTATAGTCTGAAGCTGAATATACCAGAGACAGCTAGAGAACAATTACCAGTAAATGATTATATAGGTAAAAACTATGCATATATGCTGAGGGAACCAAAAATTATATCCTATAAACAGAAATAAACCTGACATAATTAGTTGAATATAAACCCTGATATAGCAATTTTAGTGTCCTAGATTGACAAAAAAAAAAAATCATAATGCTTGCACATCTTTTTCAAGTCTCCAATGTCATTAAATCTAACTCTGATGACTGCTCAGAAACCCCAGGGGGCATATAAGACACACTGTCCCCAGACTGTACAGCTCTTTAACCCAAGCACAGTTTCCTCCTACTATTGAATTATCATTGTGCTACACTGGCTTTGATCCTCCTAATTCAGTATATTTCTACTTGATATAAAATAAAAATCAAGTTTACCTAAAGAATCAGTCATTGTCCTGCTTTAATATTTCAATCACTTGATCTTTAAAATAGACAAAGCAAAACAACCAAAACAAAAATTCAAAGATGTTTTTTGTTCTGCCTAATTAGAGAATTGGTACAGAAAAGAACCTTTCTGGCTTCTTTCCCTGAGAGTCAAAGCTGGTATTACATTGCCATGGGATTTTTATATATACCTTCTATCAACAACTGAATAAAAGTGAAATAAAATAGACTGAAAATATTCAATAAAAACTGAAGTTAAAACTACAGCTAAATAAAGAAATATTCCTTCCCCAAAACAGCTTGTGTAGTCACACTCTAGTTTTTTTTCTTTTTTCTTTTTATGCTTAAACTAAAAATGAAAACACTCTTAAAATAGTTTTCAAGGAGGGGCCAAGTGGTGGTGTGATAGCTGAAGTGGCTAGATCCCACTTGGCTGACTATGCCGTTTGAGTTCCAGACCTGATGACCTGAAAAACACACTGGGTATGTGTGAATGCATATCCAGAATTCCAAAAGAAGAAATGGAGGTAAAGGGATTGTGGCATGGCCATCCCTCCCCCACCCTTAACCCTGGGAGTGCTTTCTCTCTCTCTCTCTCTCTCTCTTGCTTCCTAACAAGCACATGCCCCCTCTAGTACATTTTAAAATTGTTTTAAAATGAGATAGGGAGAGGTGGTAGGAGAAATGCTTGTGTTTCTATGATTTTTTTGTGTGTGGGTATGTTGGATGAATATTGTCTAAATGTAATAGGACTCATTGAGATGGAATCCTTATGCACTCAATGGATTCATTGGCACTCTACCCTTAGGAAAATGCACCCATCCTTGGATACTGGGAATATTGGTTGCTGATAATATTCTTCGTTAGAAATTGTCTTCAGCCTTAGAAAACTCTTCTACATTCTCTCTCCATTCTCACGGGACATTGTGATTGGCTGGATTCAGGATACCAAGACCAAGCCCTCTCCCTGAAATACGGGACAGTTCTCCGGAGCCAGCCCAGCTTCAGGACTTATAAGGGTCTGATTGATGCCTCTGTCATAAACAAATCACTTTTCTGCTTATCCTACTGGGTCCCATTCACTTCCCCTTCTCTTCCTTTTAGGAATGTCTCCAGGGCACAATCACCCATAACCTTTCCATGCACTTTGAATCATAGCCAACTTCTAAGAAACCCACTCTAAGACTTTTTGCATAGTAGATAATACAAAGCATTAGCCCTATATACACAATCAGAACAAATTTTCCCTTTCATCCAAAGATCAATTCATAGTCATGCTTTTGATCAAATAGCTAAAGCCAAGGAAAAATGGATCTGGTATACTTACAGGCTCCAAGAGAGGCCACAGTAGGAGCTAGGTCAGGCTGCTTTGCCTTCAGCTCTTGAAGCAGATGGTTCACTGCCTTCCACTCAGAGCTCAGATCTTCTAACTTCCTCTTCAATAGAAAAGCATACATGTTACTTATTTGATTAACACCTTGACAATAACTTAATTCATGAAGTTATTAATTCATTTTGTGACTGTAATATTGGATTTCTATTATATTTTACTACTAAATTAATTTTCCGGGTAGAAATCTCTTCAAAGGAATTATAATTATTTTAGCCAACCATCCTATAAATCTTTATTGATTGTTTGCTTCATAGAAACTCTTCCTCTAGGCACAATTTTATTTAAAAGAAGTAAAGTGAAAACAAAACAAACAAAATCATTCCCCTCTCAGCAACTGGTTTGAGTCTTCAAAATAACATCTATTGTGCCTACATACCAGAATCATTGGGAGAACATTTATAAAATCTCAGCATCCTGGCTCTCTTCAGATCAATTTTATCAGACTTAGAGGAAGGGCTATGGTAGACATGGGAATATACCATCCAGAGGCCTATGCAAGGCAAATCTCTTGTCCTAGATGGTGGAAATGATGTCAGTAGACATCTTCAATTGTCAGTCCCTTCAGGGACTGCCTTGGCTGCAGAGTGGGCTCATCTGAGGGAATGTCCTTCCTGAGTAGCTCTCATTCAATGACTGATCAAGGTGAGAGAAGAAAGACCCAGCCAATTTGGCTTAAAGAAAGACAGGTTTGAAGGGCCATTTCAACTGCACAGCTTCCCATGGACACAGTCAGGCCTGTATACAATCAGAGGTATGCTGGTATATGTTTAACAACTGGCTCTCTGGGGAAAAAATACCCCAATTTTTGTGTCTGCCAATTACTATGCTGTAAATAATCCTACAATAGCCAATTTTAAATTACAAGATAGTGTTGAGTGGCTCACAAACTGCCTGAGAATTTAACAATAGGCCCTCCTGAGCTGACTCCAGCTGGCTCCAGTATAGCACTGGGCAGCCATTTGATTAGTGACAGCCAGTAGAATATGAGAAGTGATGTTTGTCAGTTCTGAACTGAAGTTTTAAAAAATGAGTAAGGTT